TCAGAAATCGTGAAGATTGCTTCAATCAGCGAAAGGTGCACCGATCGCGATTGGAGCGCGCTTTCCGCGGCCGATCATAACGCTGTGAACCCTATTTGGGGCTGTATCTAAGCGGTGCCCTGGTGGTTTTGGAAGCGGATTTGAACATATAGTAATACTCTAGACCTAGTCCACATTTATGTAAAGAAATCCGGGAAATTATGTGAAAGGAAGCAGGGAGCCACCCCAGGTGGCTCCCAGGTGGCGCGGGAGCCACCTAATTTCGAAAAACACTTACCATTTTTTTAATTCACATAAGTTTTTCATAATTTTTCGTACTTTTTTTGTGCTCATGGTCCTCCAATTATACAGCAAATTTGGTGCCATATCGTTACTTGTGCATTGAAAACGAGCCTATTTTGTTATTTTCCTCTTACAAGAACTGCGATTTGAATTCCCGCCTGCGGGAAGGCTAGCGATCGGAGCACAGAATCTTCACATTGCTGGAATCTAAGTTCATAGGACAGTAGCATCAATAAGGAATGATGAATAAAGAATGATATGTGTATTGTTTATCGGTAAACAAAGAAGAAGTCGTATTTTGGGATCCGGGGCTCCGCCCCGGACCCCAAAATACGACTTCCCCTTTGCTTTTTCGGGCCAAAAACGATATCCAGCTTGTGAAAGCGCCACCCCCGCCGGGCCCTGATTCCAGACAAGCCGTCCACTTTCCAAAAGTTTGTTAGAGGATCTTTTGCATGCGAAAATCTCCCATCATTTCAATTTCATTTCTCATTCCCCAATTCCATTTCCAACGTATTCACCAGCCGGTGAGATCGTTCGAGAAAGAATGAAACTGCTAGACTGATGATCTCCGTTCAACACTTTCAACACCGGCAACACTTTCAACACTTTCAACACTGGCAACACTTTCAACACCGGTAACACTTTCAACACTTCAACACCGGCAACACTTTCAACACCGGCAACACGGGCAAAGTATGGCCAAAGCCTAACCTCAGAGCTCCGCCGAGTTTGTTGCTTTCGCACTCTGGTGCAGAACTATGAGGTTTATGGTGGCGGTTATCACCGCAAAGTCGAAAATGGCTGATATATTTTGCATCTACTCCATGACACTCAACGATAGTCACATCATTAGAACCGATTTATTGCAAACAAACGAACAGAAGTACCCGCTTAACCAGATTGGCTGCTGAAAGGCGGGGCTTCATGAACTACGCGGCGAATGCTCACATCCGCGGCGCAGTCGGCGCCTCCCTAGCGAACTGCTCTCTGATAATATTCTAGCCTTAATTAGGTCACGGATCCCCGACTTCCAGCCGCCGATCTCGTTGAAGCAATGGGTAATTACCTACACAATGCAGACTTACATATCATCTATATATATATATATAAAACTCAAAAATTGTCAGTTTGGAGGGTATGTGCGTTATAGAAACGCGCGCCACTCAACCGATTCAGCTGAAACTTTGCACACATATGTTTTCGACCCTTGCGCAGATGATAGGCTACTTTTTGCGGCGATTCGTTGGGTCCTTCTATCGATTTATTGATTTGTTTACATTTTCCTAAGGAATTGGAGGGTTATCATGTTCAATCAAGCATTTTCCATACTCATGTAAAAAAGGGCGGTGAAGCTCATTTTCACCTCAGGATCACGAGGATGCGGTTTCCAAGCGGATGTCCCAGGGTAAGTCATCCTACCATATAGGACGGGGGGGGGGGGGCGGCTCGCAGTGCGGCGAACCATGGCCCGGGCTGGACCGGGAAAGCCAACTAGTAACTTATAAAAGCGGGCTAAGGATGTTTACGTGACTTTGTGTGTGTGTCTGTTAAAAATTAAAATCTGTTAAAATTCGTGGAGCGTGTTCCAGCCAGCGTTCTAAGCCCAAATATTGTATAGCGCATGCTACCTTCATGAAAGTCCAATATGCAAAAGCACGAGTAGATTCGTTAAGTGGATCCCTCAGAAATTGCGCGCCAAACGGGTCCACCTGGCTTCTGTACCGCAAAATTCGGTCCGTATCACCATTTTTTGCAGAATCGTGGATGAGTTTGTAAGCAAATGTGCAAGCGATGGAGTTTAGCCAGAAAAGTGGTCGAAAGTTTACTACATAACGGAATCGGCGCCAAAACGAATTGGCTGTGTAAATGGTCAATTTGCCAAGGTTCTAGCTAAGCGTTTGAGAAGATTTTCGCACAGAGATGTAGCTCACATTTATCATAACCTTTATGGCGACTACAAGTCATGACAAATTCAAAAACCTATTCGAATTTGCGTTTGTCTTCCTGCGAAAAGTTTCATCCACGCGAAATCACCGATCTCACGTGAAAAGACTTTCTGAATGAGTGGTTGTTTACATTTTATTCGTGGTAGTCGGCATTGCGCGGTGAGTTCCAGTGCCACGATTTTACGAGAATAAGTAAGGCACATAGATAGTGCCAGTGCGAACCTTTGCGAAGCAGAGGTGACGCACTGGTATATATACAGGGTGTCCCAAAGAAATGTATCGAACGTTTGATCGTTAATATCTCTCTTCTGATAAAGTCTTTTCCCTTGCCTCAGGTACCAATCTGTAATCTGGCTTCAACTTAGATTTGCATTATAGAACGAATCACCCATCTCTCTTCATTACTGTAGGATTACGGTAGAAACTTCAAAGAGGGTTTTAAGCAGTGAAAGGCCATATTTTGCCCTAGAAAGGAAACAAGACAGCCTAAAAACTATCACGCTAGGCTAATTAGAGTTGCTGATTATAACTGTAAAGTTCCCAACTTATTATGGTGCTTCATTAAAGAGTTATGCCAGGTAACAGGTAGCGGCTTTTTTCAATGTTACTAAAAAGTGCGGTTACACCGTTTAGAAATCTTCGTAATCTTGTGAATAGTTGAGTATTGGACTCAGCGTCCATAAAAACTTTAATACACAAGTTTTCACATTTTTTTTGAAAACTTTTGAAACGGCAGTTTTTCCACATTGACACCAAATGTTTCAAGTTTCTACCGTAATCCTACAGTAATGAAGAGGGATGAGTGATTCGTTCTATAATGCAAATCTAAGTTGAAGTCAGCTCTACAAAACGGAACCTGAAGCAAGGCAAAAGAATTCTTGGAAAGAGGGATATTAACGATCAAACGTTCGATACATTTTTTGGGACACCCTGTATATATACCAGTGCGTCACTTCTGCTTCGCAGAGGCTCGCACTGGCTCTTCTATCTATATGACATATACTCATTCCCGCTTAACATAGCATTAAAACATACCGTGTAATGCCCGCCTTCACGAATGAACCGTAAACAACTACTCATTCCGAGAGCTTTTTCGTGTGAGATCGGTATTTTGCGTAGATGAAACTTTGGAAGATGAAGAACAAATGCAGAATTAGAACACTTTGAATTATTTCATGGCTTGGTAGTCGCCATATGGATAATATTTATGGTGAGCTACAGCACTGTGCAAAAATCTTCTCAAATGCTCAGGTAAAAACCTGGCAAACTGACCATTTACGCAAATAATTCTCACTAATTTTGGGCTAAAGATCATGGCTTGCACATTCACTTGCGAAACATAATCACGACTTTGCAATAAGTGGTAATACGGACCCGATATTGCGCGCCAGACGTTGGGTGGATCCGTTTGGGGTGCGGTTTTTGAGAGACTCACTTAACGGATCTGCTCGTGCTTTGACATGGTGAGTCTTGGTGAGTGTGCGTGTTGTGCAAAAAATTGCGGCTTGAAACCTTGTCTGCGACTCGTTCTGTGAATTTTGTTACAGACA